GGCAGCTCAGTCCTGACCTCTCCTGTCTGCCTCAACTTTAGGCCTTAGCACAGGCTGTTCCCACCACCTGGAACACCCTTTCCACCTCTGCTCACTCGGCTCTCGCCTATTCATTTCTCAGCCACAGCCGGAAGTCCTTTTCTCCCTCCCACCACCCCCAACCCCGCCACAGTAGGGTGGGGTAGTGGGTAGGGTTCTGTAATACCCTAAACGACCGACCTGTGCTTCTTTCTGGTTGTCACAGTTTCACCACACTCTTTACAAGGGCTCACCTGGAGTCTGGCACCCCCACTAAACTGTGAGCACATCGAGGTGGGAACCAGAGCTACGCAGGCACTGCCCGCTCTGGGAGAACACTACTGAAGTAGTGCCCTGCAGAGGTGCCGCCAGGGCTGGTGCCCCGCACATGCACTGCTCTGTCCCCGGGGCCCTGCACAGTGCCTGGTGCAGAGATGACTCTCAGCAAACAGCTGCTGGATGCAAGATGCTGATGTGACTGTGGGGGTCCTGTGCAACCCCAGAGAGCCTGAACGTACTTTCATAGCTACATGAGGACGTGCACACGTGCATCGCAATGCTCAGAAGAGACAAGCAGGTTCATCTGGGAGAAATCACTGAGATTAAAAAATCCATCTTAGGGGGAGGTTATAGTTCAAGTGTTAGAGTGCATGCTTAGCATGCGTGAGGTCCTGGGTTCAATCTCCAGTACCTCCTCCAAATGGAAATACATAAATAAACCTAATTACCCCAATAAAACAAACAAACAAAAAAAGAAAATTAAATGGCCAATAAATAAAGATATACTAAATATCACTTTTTTAAAAATCCATCTTTGTAGTGGTGATAGTTGCACAACTTGGTGAATAGACTACAGACCACTGAATTGTACACTTTTGAAGGGTGAATTATATGTCAAAGAAATTCTGTCTTTGATAAAGCTGAGAGTGTAACCCACATAGACTTGTTCAGAGAAGGGACTGGAAATGGGCTGTTGTCCTCAGCAAATGGGATTGACCTGGAGCCTCCAAGGTAGAGTCACTTGGGCAGAAATAGGAAAGGGAGGGGCATCCCATTGTGAACATTGTCAGGGAGATGCTGAAGAGGCCAGAGCTTGGAGAACCCACAAGCTAAGGAATCAGGGTGAGGGTGGAGACCAAAGTTGCAGGGACAGAGCTTGAGGATATGAGGCAATCACACAAGGATCTGAGACAACTTAGTATGTGCTCCTGCCAAGGCTGATGGGGGTAGCAGGGAAGTGACATTGTCCCTTGGGAGTTCTTGGAGCACCCCCCCAAAGTTTCTTCCGCTCAGAGGCAATCCCCTCAGGTGGCCCACACTGCTTGTTGTCCACCCAATATCCTTTCTCCCTTTCTTGTTTGGTAATAGTACCCCTGACTTTTTAGACACATGGCACCCTGGAATAAAGTCGATGTTTCCCAGCGTCTCGGGCTGCTACTACGATCACGCGACTAACTTCTGGCCAACAAGATTTAAGCGGAAATGATACAGGGCAGGTTCCAGAAAACCCTCTTCAGAGACAGCTGGTATGGGCCTTTTATCTCCGATTCCCCATTTCCTCCTTCCTGCTGGCTGGACTTTGGCTGTGATGGCTGGAATTCAAGCAGCCACCTTGGATTGTGAGGTAGAAGTCACATGTTTAAAATGGCAGAGTGGCAAGACAGAAGGAGCAGGGGTCTCTAATAATCATACAGCTGCCATACTAGCTCTAGATTATCAATCTTCCTACTGCATGTCTGTGAGCTAAGCCTCTGTATTAAGTCCCTGGTATTTACATCCCTCTCAGGCAAATCTAGTTCTAATTCAGAACCACTATGGTCAAGTTTATGCTGAAATGATGGGAACCAATATCTGGGAAGCTGGAGAGCTTTCTCTCTCCCTCCCTTCACTTTTTCACTCCTTCCCAAAACACATTTGAGTATTTCCTCTGTTCCCCACCTTGAGCAGGGCACCTTACCTGTGTTAAGTATAAAAATATGATCCCCAGCTCAAGCAGGGAGAGTTGATGCAAATATTAATAGCAAAGCAGATTGATATACATGTTTATTAATGCTAAGAATCTGTGCATTCACACAGATGTTACCCTAAAAGAGACACACACACATACTTTCTACGCTGTCGCTCCTTGATGCCTGGGTAGCCAAACCCCAACCAGGACCAGCGGGGTGTGTTCTCTTGGGGCCAGTAACCTCCAGTGCTCTCAGGCACGGTGCCTGCATGGCTGCAGCCCCATCCTAATGTAGGCCAGAAATGGGGGACCCCTTCCACCCTCTCATTCTCTCAGAAGCTCAGGTTTGATTCTGCAAGAGATGAGAAAGATTCCCCCTGGAGAGATCTTCCCAGTTCCTTAGGTGTCCCAGTGCAGGGCATGTGTTCAAAGGAAAGGGGCATTGCTCTTCTCAACACTTCAAAGGAATTCTTGACCCAGAAAAGGCCCAGAAGCACTGATGCTGAGTCAAATCCTTTGCTTCCTAGGTATAGTTGCTACAGCCTTGAGCAGGTCAGGACATTTTATTTGTGGATATGTTAGGTGGATGTTTGGGGGTGGGGAGTTGGTTGATTGGTTTTAATGTTGGCCCTTTGGCCACCAACAGCCCAGGAATGTCATGTCACCGCTCTGCTAAGTGCAGCCCCAGGCCTCCAGAACTTGCTGGTCCAGGTTGCCATGGCCTGGCCTGCCCTTATCTATAGGCCTAAAACCTGACCTCTGCCCTGGAGGAGGTGTCACAGGCTAGAACTCTTGCCACATGATGGCCGATCTCGGGCCTTCCAGCACCTGAAGCAGCTTCACAGGACACCCCCAACCCAGCAAGCTGAGGCTTATGGACAGCAGCCAGGGTCACTGAGGCCAAAGGCTCACCTGCACCTGCACCTAACTCCCATTGTGCTGTCCAAAAGGACCACCCCAGCCCTGGAAGCCCCCTCATCATGCCCTAAAGGACCAGCCAGTGGCAACAGGACCCTGGAGGGGACACTTCCTCTCCGAGGACTCACTGGACCTCAGCCAGCCCAGATGTGAGGCCAGGAGTGGAGGAAACAGGAGCTGAGTAGCAAGGATAGAACCTGGACTTGCCCTGATAGTGAGGAGCTGCTGGGTGGCACAAGGTCTGCAGGGAAGCAGAATAAGGGTGCCAGCCCATTTGACCCGCCATCTACACTGGCAGACACAAGGCTCTGAGAACCCAGCTGCGGACTCAGTCACTCCCTCTACCTGGGCTCTCAGGGGCCTCAAGGCCACTCACTGGTGTGCACACAGGTGACTATGGGGGAAACTCTACATATGCCTCAGTTTCCTCCTTTATATGACCAGAGGATTAAGAGGGATAATGTCTGGGAAAGTAAGGACCTTCCTGCCTTCAAGTCCAGGAGAGTACTGGGACCCAGGGCGTGGCAGAGGCAGGTTACAAGGGCTTGGGAAACCCCCATCCCTGCCCCAGCCCAGGACCCCTCCAAGGAAGCTGACCCCTCTGCTCAGAGCCCAACCACATGGACACCACCCCAACTACCCAGCCCCTTAGCCCTCGAGCCAAGTGGCCCCCTGGACTCACCCTTCCTTCCAGCACCCAACAGTTCCCACGTCACAGCCTCCACCTCCTGGCCATCACTCACCTGGTCATCAGTCCTTTCCTGCGCTGCCCACCTGGCCTCTCCCCTGCCTCCCACCCACCTCACTTCAGCTCTACGTCTGCCCAGGGGCCCAGGTGGGAATCTGACCTGTCACTTCCCTGCAGAAATTCTTTACTGGCCTAAGGCACCGGCAGGGTGAAAGGTAAGCAGCTTAGGTCTTAAAAGGCCCTTTGCCCTCCTGGCATCCTCTCAGCGGCTCTACTTCCTGCAGCAACTTGGGCTGTTCCACCCTCCGTATCATTCCCTCTGCCAGAGCACCAGTCCCACTGCCTCAAAGGCCATGTCCTCCAAGAGGCCCCTCCTTGACTGTCTCCGGAAGCCCTGAATGAGTGCAGCCTGCCCTAGCCAGCTCTGAACCTGCCCGAGCCCCAGCAGATGGCCAGGCAGGGCAGGGAGGGCCCCTCAGGGCCTGGTGCTGACAGCACACAGCAGGCAGCTATGTGTGAGTAAAGCTCCCAGGGGCCAACTGACTGGCTCAAATCCGAACTCTTAAGTGGCTGAATGAGCCAGGCCTACTTACTTACCCTCTCTGGGGTCTAACAGGGCAGTACAGTTCACACCCCACAGGATGGTGCCAAGGATTTTTACTATACCTCAAGCATCTGCCTCCCTTAGACTGTGAGCGCCTAAACACAGCAGGGGTCTAATAATCACCACCTGCTGCTGCTGAAACACATGGCTTCCCAGGGACAAGAGGCAGAGGCCAAGGGCAGGACCCGCAGGCAGCAATGATCCTCAGCCCAACCCCTGCTGGCCCCCCTGATCCTCCGCACCCCACAGTTCACCGACTGCTGCTCAGGCCTCATGAGCATCATCTCCCCCACAGCTCACCTAGACTCCTCCCCCGGGGAAACACCTCCCTGGACTGAACCAGCACTGCCTCCACCAATGAAGTCCTTTCTGACAGTCAGATGGTCCCAAGGCACCAGGGGCCCTTCTTGGAATGTGGGTGCTCCCAGAAGGGGTTCAGCAGAGTTTTAAAGAATGATGAAGCTTGGGTTTGGTCCATGTTGGGGGCGATGACTGGAGCCCAAGTGCCTACCCTGAGGTCTGTGGTCAAAATGAGATCAGCCATCACTCAGACATCACATGCAAAGGTCATGGGGGTGAACCAAGTTCAGGGCTGCCTAGGGCCTTTCCAGACATGCTCCCTCTGCATGACCGCTCCTCCCTTACTCTTCAGACCACTGGCCTTTTCTCAGCTTGCAGACTGATGCTTCATAAGAGGCCTTCTCTGACTCCTAAGTTAAATCAGGGTCCCCTGTTAGCCTCCCCATCTGCCCCTGCCCACTACCCTCACAGCCTGCCTGTCATGAGAACTGGCCCTGGACAAAGCAGCAATTCAAAATCAAAGAGACAGACGTAAACCAGAAGTGTTTATTGCAGAAATCTGGCCAAGGTTCCAACTGGGTGGCCACAGTTGAGGCTGGGTTAGGGCCCCCTGCCCAGGGGTGGGTAGGTGAAATAGGGAATGTGGAAGGAACACGTCTGGGCCTGAGGCCTCAGAGCTGTGAGATGATGTTGAGGGCCAGGCTGCAGGTGAGGCCTGTGCCATCGGGCTCCACATTCAAGGACTTCACTATGCCATCCTCTATCACCATGGAGAACCTGCCAGAAAAAAGGGCCAGGCCAGTTGCAACAGCCTGGGCCTAGAGGCTGGGAATGGAGACAGGCTGGGTCGGGGGAACCCCACGGGGACTCTCCTACTTTTACCTCTTGAGCCGTCGATTCCCAAAGAGAGACACCAATGAATCATCTAGTAACAAATCTGTCTCCTGAAAGGAGAGGCAGAGGACAGGGTCAGGAACCCCCAGAACAGGCCAAGACCCCTGGCTGCTCCCCACATTGGCCATGTCCCTCCAAGTCCCTACTTCCAGGGCCCAACACAAGAACCACCCTGCAGGTGGAGCATGGGGGGTGCACTCACCTTCCCAAAGGCCCCAGTGGGGTCAGCCAGGAGCTGAACCTAAGGAGAAAGCAAAAGTCACATGAAAAATCTCCTGCTTGGCCCCTGATCCCCTGCAGGACCCACACCTCACCTTGCCTTCCGTGTTGTGGGCTCGTCCCCATTCTTTAGTCACGAAAACATCATTAACACTCAAACATGCCACCACCTGGATGCCCTTGGCCTTCAGAGCTCCGGCCTGCTCCACAAACCCTGGCAGGTGGGTCTGGGGAGGGGGAAACAGGGTCAACAAAGGGATAAATGCCTCTGCTCCTCAGCCTACCCTTCATCCCCAGGCCCTCCTCACCTCTCTTACTACAACAGTTTTGATCAGACAATAACTGTGTAAGCTGCAGTTCCTTTTTGCCTTAGCCACTAGGAAGCTTGGATCTAAATTTAAGTGTTCCTTGGCCAAGACCATGAACTTCCCATGGGGCAGGACTATGTCCCATTTACCCGAGTTCCAAGTCCCTTCCAGTGCCTGTCACCCAGCAGGATCAATGAGAGTGTTGGATTTCATTGCATCAACCTTTTGTCTTACATACCTGGTACCTGTTCACAGCCTTATTTTTTTTTAAATAGATATGCTCTTTTAACTGTCACATCATCTACATTGTACCTTGGTATAAACTGCCCCAGGACAACGTAGAGGGCTAACAAATGATACAAACATGTACACAAAGTCCCAACTGCTGAGCCCCAGAGGGGTGGGCCTCACCTTGGAACAGCCAGGGGTAAAGGCCCCAGGGACTCCAAACAGCACCCCCTTCTTGCCCTTGAATAGCTCTGCCAGGTTCACCTTGTTCCCAGGCTCCCCTTCAAACACCACCACCGATGGGATGGCATCTCCCACCTAGAAGGAATGACGCCAAGGTAAGGAGTGGGGCGGGAGGCCAAGAGAAGAGCAGCATGGGCGGGCGGGCAGGGGGTGGCGATGGTGGAAGCCCAGAGGACCTAGTAGTTCTGCTTGGTCGGGTGGAGCCAAGAAAGTCCAACCCTGTCAGAGCTTCCAGAGGTCCCTACCCCACAATCACCTGGTTACCCAACATTCTCCAGGTTTGGAGGTGGCCCCATTCCTCTTAAGAGCCAGTTAGTGAAAACAGAAAAAGGGAGAGAAGGCCTCCCCGGGTGTCGCAAGGGGTTGAGTAAACAAGCTGAGTTACAGGAAAGGAGTGGGTAAAATGAACAAGAGGAGGCCCTGACAACACCGAGGGAGGGGACCCTGGCCTCAGCTGAGAGTCCCGCCCTCAGGAAGAGAAAAAGGGAGGGTGGCAGAAGGTGGGAAAGTTGAGGAGGGAGGTGCAGGTTGCTACATCCAGAAGGTAAAGAATAAAAGAAGGAATCTCTTGAAGGGGAAGGGACCAGTCTACCTGGGAGTGTGTGAGGCTTCATGGGGCCAGAGGAGGTGGACAAGAGAGGAAAGTCAGGGGGAAGGGGAGAGTCTCTGAGAAACCCAGCAGTTGGTTGTAGGATGAATTAGAAGGAGGAGAGGGTCTCAGAAGAGTGTGGCACAGCGAGGGAAGGAGCTGGGGATGGTTCCTTAAGATGAGAGGGGTGAAAGACTCAGAAGGAATTAGGAATGGGTGGACTGCAATGGGGGAGACAAAACAGGGCTCTAAGAGACAACAGCTGTTTCAGAATATGGGGTGAGAGTGACGCCCAATAACACGACAAAAGCGAGCGGGACGGTACGGAGGAGGGCTCTATGGGGACTGAAAAGGGCAAAGGAGGTGGTTCCATAAGGCGAAGGAAGCCTTGGTACTCAATCGCCTGAAAATGGTGGAGACCCATCACACGGTGTCCCAGAGTGGATGCCGTCTACGAGGGGAAGGCCCAAGAGCCTTAGGGGCTGTTCCAGGAGACGCGGCACGGGGCCCCTAAAATTGGCGACAACGTTGTAACCACGGGGTCTGGTGGAGGGGATGAGGGAGACAGACGGTGAGGGGAGCCTCTAGGGCGGTGGGGAAGGGTCAGGAGGGCAAGAAAGAGGATGACTCTCGCCCAGACAAGCGGGATGGAGGACGCTAGGGAAACAGTCCGGAGGAGGTTGGGGGAAGGTAGGAGGTATCAGGCCTGGCCGAGTCAGCGGTCACCTTGATCGGGGCCATGGCTGCAGCAGCGCTTCTGAAACTGCGGACCCCACCAAACGCCCACTCTAGGCCCCCTTCCAGGCACCTTCTGGCTCCCGCCGCTGCCGCACACTCAACGGCAGTCACCCAGGAGACCACCGGACGCGTCCTACTTCCCAGAATGCAAAACCACGCCATCGATATGCCAGACCCTGAAGCCACAATTGCCCCGCCCCCTCCTGGCCCCGCCTCGCCCCGCCTTGCCCCGCCCCGCCCCAGCTCTCACTTCCGCCTCCCGGCTGAGGCTGAAGGCGGGGCCTGACGTGAGGCGTTATGACCAAACCCTGCAGAAAGCGAAGCCTCGGCCGCCCAGGCCTCCTGCCGTCTCTGGGCAGGCGTGGGCGGCGCGCGCAGAGGCGGAGCTTCCAACACGCTCGGCTTATTTGCATTTGAGGCTGGATCACTGGTGCGCTCGCGAATAGGCGGAGCTTGTTCGCGTGCACCAGTAGGATGCCGCCGTTTTGCTGGGCGTAGTTTACGGGTTGGGGCAGCATTTCTGTTCCTTTACCGAAAACGAGGGGCGGGAGACAATGTCAGTCACCTGTGTAGGAGTAAAATATTTATTTTGCATTTAAGGAAGGTCCCTGAGTTGCAGATGTTTTACATATAATTTTTACTGTACATGATTTGTAGCAGCTGGAGGTTTGTCTCAGCCAAAACCACTGAGCCTGCGTCCTAGCAATTTCCTGCCAAGATGCTTCCGGGAGCAGCGCGTGATCCTATCAGACCTCTGCTCCGGAGAGCACGAGAAGTTCCAGCAAGTTCGCTGTTTCCGCCCCTCCCAGCTATCCAATAGGATAGAGAGTGGAGCAGCCCCGGAAGTAGCTCCGGCGGGGTCCGCCTTCCTTCCGGTTCCGGCTTGGCGAGAGTGCGTTGTGGCGACATGAAGCTGCTCACCCACAACTTGCTGAGCTCGCATGTGCGGGGGGTGGGGCCCCGTGGCTTCCCCCTGCGCCTCCAGGTACCGGCCGGGGCGATCTCGCGCCCCTCTCCGTGGCGGGCCGGAGAACTAGGATCCGGGCCCTGCCTAACTCAGTCTCTCCGCCCCGCAGGCCACCGAGGTCCGCATCAACCCTGTGGAGTTCAACCCCGACTTCGTAGCGCGTATGATACCCAAAGTGGAATGGGCGGCGCTTCTGGAGGCAGCCGACACCGTAAGGACCCTCCCTGCCTCCTGTGCACACCCTAGCGGGGACCGTGGTCTCACCGCGACCCCTTACACCAGGCCAGGGAGCCTGGCCTTAGGGCGAGGGTCGGGCATGCCCAGAGATGATATAACTTCTTGCCCACAGTTGCATCTGATTGAGGTGCCCAAAGAGCCTATTGAGGGATATGAGCATGACGAGGAATTTCTGAGGAAGATGCACCACATACTGCTGGAGGTAAGAACCCTCTCCACTTGCTTCCCAGCCCTCCACCTGGAGGCTGCCATTGCTCAGCTGTGTTCCCCTTTTCTCGCAGGTGGAGGTATTGGAGGGCACGCTGCAGTGCCCAGAGTCTGGACGTCTGTTCCCCATCAGCCGGGGGATCCCCAATATGCTGCTGAGTGATGAAGAAACGGAGACTTAAAACTGTGCCAGACACCAGTTTTTCCGTTGTGACTGTGTGTATCTTTGTTTACGTATATCCTGTTGGCTAGTTCCGTTCTGTGTATCTCCGATCGTTGGCCCAGTGACACACCGAACACATAGTGTTCTTGAGCTCGATATATTTTTTTTCTCATTAAAGGTTCAAAACCAAAAGCGGTTTCTCTTTGCAGCAAATATACATTAAAATAGAGTCTCTGTACAGCCAAGGGCTCTGGGTCCTGGCTTGCCCCATGTCCCTGCGCCTCCCTGGCCAAACCCAAAAATAAATATAGTGTTATTGCTCTGCAGGGCATAGAGGCAGTGCTCTCCCTGCCCCCTGAGGAGGCTGGGTGGGAGCTGATGGGGGAGTCCTGGCCACCCCAGGGGTCCAGGGGCTGGAGCCTGCTTGGAGTTATTGCTTCAAGGGGGGGCAGTAATGCCCAATGCAAATGATGAGGAGAGGAGCGAAGGGAGCAGGGGCCTTTGCTCTCCAAATCCCACTCTGTTCTAGAGAGGAAGTCGGATTAAGCAGCAGCAAAAGCATCACCCACTGGGAGACTGGCCTCCACTCCCTTCCCTCCCTGAGATCAGGCTTCTGCCCCCCCCCCACATCCCCTGCAGCCCCCTATGGCTTCCGCAAGGCCCCCGGCACTCTGA